GGTTAGAACAGCAGCAGAACAAAAATGGTGAACAGAGAGTTGGAAACGGTGCATGCTTAAGTCTGAAGCATGACAGCACTTAAGTCTGATTTTTACGGCACTTTAAACAGCATGTAGAGACTGTCTTCATTTAAAGGAACAAATTGTATGTCTTGTTTTCGCTGTGATCTGTATCGGTCCAGTGTGCTCAGTAGATTAGCTTAGCATATGTAAAGTCCTTTATTCCTGCCAGCAGGTTTAGAAGCTTTGTTATCTTTATTTCAAAAACAGCCAAAATTCCAAATTTACAGCCATCCTTGAACTATTAATCTGGGAAGTGCTGTTCCAGCGACAAAAAGATGCAAGTCCAAACTTGTTTGGGTGAACAGATTCTGTGAAAAACTCAAAATTTGCTCTCCTCAGCTCAACTCTGATGCTGATCATTATTTACTTAGCTGTGACCATCAGTTATGAAATCAAAACTCAAAGATTTTCCAGGTGAACTCCAGGCAGTGTTTACACAGAGCAGGGGGGACACGAGCATGGAAACACAGCTATAGAATGTCTCCATCTTTTTCTAGTATTAGCAGCACCTGTTGACAGTTGGATAAATGTTGTAGATGGATGTTGTACCTGTTGATTGCAGTTTTTTGTTTGTTGTCTGTAAAACAAATAATAATAATAAAAAACTACTTACATTTTTTCTTTCTTTTTTATTCATTTATTTTGGGATGAATGGAATTATAACTTTCTTAAATTGCACGAAAGACCCTTTTGAGTTCTTTCTCTTTCTAGTCTTAGTTTTGTCTAGTATTGTTTGCACAGTGCTGCAGGAATTTATATTGCAGTAAAAAATGAACCAACGGTGAGAAAAAATGTGACAGGAGGAAAACAACACCACGAAACTGCTTGGGTTTCTTCAGTTAAATGCTATATCTTGTTGTGTAATCCACTGTGTGTACATTGTGCACATTTAGTCAGATTTGCATACTGAAATGATTTCATGAAACTATTTCTTCTAACAGTTTCTTTAAAAAAAAAAAAAAACTAAAGTGTGTAAATACACCAGGACACTAAACAGGGTTTTTGCTGACTCAGATTGGACTTTCATGGCATCCACATACAGTACAGGAAATGAGTCTGTGTCGTCTTACTTGGCAGATATCGTTGCCTTTTTCTGTTATTTCACTTTGACAAAAATCTCAATTATGCTTCAAACCTCAATTAACAAAACTGGTCAAAAAATATGTAATAAAAAAATCTAAATTCTTATCATTTAGGAGCAGGTGCTTTGTCACTGGCCGAACACTCTTTAAAAATCACCAAAAATTCCTCTGTTCAGATAAAAAATTCTGCAAATGTAAGCCAACTTCAGCCAAATAGCTCAAAAATGGCTAAAACTGAGCTGCTCTCTGCTTCTCCAGTCCCCAAAAGCGTTTTCTTTTTTCAGGCACACAAAAACAGAACCTGCAAAGTAAGATGCATATTATATTTAATGAAAGATTTTCACTTGAGTGTGGAAACAATTTATGTAAACAACCCCAAGAGAACATCTATCGTGCTAAAAACACATTTTCCTTCCCTTGCAGCTTCAAAATGGGCAAACATCAGTGATGATGGAACAGCTTTGAAAACTTCTGAGTCCTGTTAGGAGTCAATATTTACTTCACTTCACAGTGTGTGTGTGTGTGTGTGTGTGTGTTTGAGCCTTTTTTCTTGTTTCATCCCTTGTTTAACACTGAATTATTCAAAACACAAAAAATTTTAACCAGCTTATTAAATGATTTTTTATTTATTTTTTTCTTCCCCTGTTGTCCTGACGGTGACAGCAGTGACGCCACAGTGTTTTCCATTAACATTATTCATCCGAAACCCACTGACCGCGATCAATAATGCATCGCTTCATGCGGCGTTATCAACGAGCTGCTGTTGGGACGGGACGGCTCCAAATGGAAGGTCGCAGAAAGAGAAATATGCTGAATAATTTCGACTCTAGAAGTGTGATCTGATGAAGAGGGAAACCCAAAGACACGTCGGGAATAATAAAGAGAGGAGGAGTGATGAAGAGATCAACAGTGAGCCCTGAAGGGAAAACACTGTCACCTCATTTCCTCAGTCTCAGGTAATTTTGAGCAAACAAAACCAGATGTTCAAACAGAACTGGGATGTATTCACCAATGAGATGCAAAACAATGCTGCTGTTTGTGTTTTTTAGGTGGAGGAGGGGGGAAGCTTTAAATACTGACTAGTTTGCTGCTTAAATGCAGCACAAGATGACATACGAATGAGAACAATTATTGAACTTAGAAAACATATTAGAATTCTCCTTATTACTGCATTTAATTGGGTGATTAGGGAAAGAATCGTCTCGAGACTTCGTGTATTTTTGGGCTCATTACTGTAAAGTCTGAATCTGCTGCTGCACATAAGATTCCTGCTGCAAATGTGAGAAGGAATTTTCCACTCAGTGTGAAGCTCATCCCCCTCCAACAAGAAAAATACGCTCCAACATGCTACCTTTATGAAAAACAAAGCAGAGTGTAATCAAAAGACAAACAAAAACGTCTGGGCCGTTTTGATAAATGAAGACTTCATGCAGACTTGCAAGCAGCGACTCATTTCACAGCAATAATTTTCCGCATGAGAATCTCAAGAGGCACGGGGTGGTATTTTTTATTTTTTTTGTATAAAAAGATTTCATGCTTACGTTCAATCAATTTGATGAGGATGAAGCATCAAAAACAGGAATTCTCCGCTCTTTACAGCTTCAGATGCCCATTGTTTGGTGCATTTTTTGCTTTAGGTGGTCACAGAATTGAGCAGGTTTTTGACTAAATGCAGCGTGACACACTGTTTCTCTATCCATGCTTGACCCCCTACTGGACATTTCCCACATGGTGACAGGCTGGCAAAGATTACATGACATGGGTCACTAAATATAGCAAGAAAGGCTGCCACCGAGGCGCTGAGAAGTAAACAAGAGATGAAACGGAGGACTCAGGTCAGGCGGCTCGGTTTGTCTTCCTTCCTCCCCAGCCATGAGGCCGTCCGCGGGGATGCCCATATGTAGACCAGCAGTTGCTAATATCTGCGGCCAAACTCCTGGAGATTCGGCGTTTAATGAATTGAACGTATCACCCGTTGTGATTTATAGTTGCTAATTTTTAGTTGCTCCCCCTCGGTGCATCTCCTCCTTGGAGGCAGGCCGAGCTGCAGCGCAGTTAAAGCCCGAGAACCAGATGTGATGGATGTTCTCTGCTGTTGATGCGCACGCACCTGTTTAAAGGGTCAGTTCACCCAAAAACAACAACAGCAAGAAAACAACTGTTTCTTTTCATTTAAAGCAGACATCACTGAGGATAGAGTTGTTCATTGTCTTTTTTAAACATTCATTTTAAACTGCATTTGCAGAAATGAGGTCCTGGTTGATCTTGATTGACAATTTACAAGGAAACACTTCCTACTAAAGAATTAATAAATCAGCAGGGCAAGAACTATTGGAAGACTTGTTGCTATTGGCCTTTTTAAAATATAATCTTTTCACGGATGTAAACACAGATTCAACGCTCTTAATTCCAAAAAAACATGATGGTGGGTTTGTGAGGCAAGTTGTTTAAAAGTTACACTAGTTCCTTTTTTGTTTTTTTTTTACTCAAGATGGGTCCTTTAATTCTCTGAACCTTAAAAGCTGCCAGAACATCAGTTCTCTGAACCAGAAACCGTAAAGATAGAGATAACCGTTGAACTACTTATCTGTGATCTGTGTCATATTTAAGCAAAATCCCTTAATTCTATATGTTACATTTAAAAAAATGCCAAAAAAAAAACAATGGCAAAAAAAAAAATAAAAAAAAAACTTTAAAAAATGTTGCTTACTGACTCAACTGGGAAGTCAGGAGAACTCAGCTGTGAGTAACAGTCACATGACAACAATTCAGGGACTTTTCAGCTCATCTGGGATGAACTGCAGGCCGTGCAGCGGACAAGAGCAAAGTATAGAAACAAATAAATATGTAGGTAGTAAAATATGTTTAGTATGTAGAGCCACTAGTTTTCTTCAGTACTGGGTAACACTTGCTTATACTTGAAGCTTTTTTTTTTATTTTTTATTTTTTAAATAATTTTTGAAAACTAAAGAAATTTTCTAACTCATTTATAGCATTATGATTTTGTCATACAGCACAAAATCCACATTTTAGCGCTTTCTCCCTCTAGTCATGGTTGTACTGTTTCCATAGAGGTGCAGGATTTTATATTGCCATGAAAACTGAGCCCACAGTGAGTAAAAATGCATCAGGAACAAAAAAGCTACTTGGGGTTTAATGGGGAGTTAATGGGGGCAAAGTAAATGTTTGTATGGCTACGTCCGATAATTGAGGTTGTTTGGCCCTTTAAATGTGCAGAAGAAAAGCCTCATGATTCACCTCTGTGTCTTCATTCACAGGTCAAAGTTCTAAGCCTTCATTAGGTTTGCAAATCACTTTGTTACTTTCACTATTAGCATAAAGTTGCATTCGTAATAGATTCTGGTCCGACAGAATCCTTTACTGTCCTGTCAGACGCTCGAGGATCGTCTGGGTGTGTCTACTCTTTTGAGGAACTTGGCATAGCTACTGCTCCCAGACAACATCTCATGTCAAAGGTATTTTAATGCCAGTCGTCGATCCGTCTCTCCACGTAAACGAAATTAGCAGCAGATGTGGCGAGACTAAGCAGATAACTCACTTAACGTTGTGCCGTAAAGCTGAAGGTGCTTCAGTCGCTGCGTTGGGTCAAAGGTGTATTTTATCTCGCCGGTGCATTTACAAAGCGGGCGTACGCTTTTAAAAGCTGCCTTTAATCAGTCAGCTACGACTGAAAATGAAAACCTTTTGGAGACCTTTTGTTCACTGTTAAGGAAGACAAATATTTTCGTCTTTGTGTAGGAGCAGGAGCAGGAGCAGGGGCAGAAATCAACAGCTGCAGCTGCAGTAGTTGGTGAGACAGACGCTGTGTGTTTAGGCCCGGGGCTGTTGACTTACCCCTGCTTGACTGCTTTGTTCTTGTTCACATCGATGGTGGTGATGGAATGCTTGGCGCCGGACTGCACCTCCCAGTCCACCTTCCACTGGGCGTTCTTCGACTTGGTCTGTAGCAGGTTCACTCCTTTTTTTGCTTTGACCCTGCAGGAAACAGCGAAGGGGAACAAGAATGGGATCAGTCAATTTTATTAGCGGGGATGATTTATGTGCGAGGTCAGAGGTGAGCGCCCTCTGTGAGCAGCGGACCTCCTCCTCGCATTGCGTCATGGCAAAAGCAATTCCACAGATGAATCAATAACAGAGATGAATGAAGATGACAGTGCAGTGATACATGAGAGCAGAAGGCTGGGACCACTTCGGGTCACTGTGATCACTAACACTTTCTATAAAATCTAATCCACAAGGCTCTGCACTGAACCCACTGGACTTTTTTTGTTGTATTTTTAACATCTGGAGCCTCCCAAAGCAGTTCACATGCAACTGACAATACAGTTAGTTGCAGTTCATATTAAAAACAATTTTCAGCTTCCTAAAGTCCGACAATATGATTGATTCTGAGGTGAAATCTTCCTTCCTTAACCCTCATCTTCTCAGGAGGAGTACACTCTATAGGTAGGTCAAGGTTACCAGGGGAACAGGAGCCCTCAAGCTGACAGGAATTCATGTATTTTTTTTGCCCAAGGACACATCAGCAGGGAAAACGTTTGAACCTGGAATCCACTCACACTCCCCGCTGGCTGTTAATATTTCAGGTGTTCACATTAAATAGGCCATAGGTGGAAAAGCACAGAGTGGAATACAATGAATGTTGCAGTGTTTTACTGCAACAAGCAAGGTTTCAAAACTTAATATTTAGTTTCCAATGATATATTCATGCATAGAGGCACAACTGTTCACAATACTGAGGGACTGACGTGTAAATACAAATCAAAACAGTCTCTTGCTGCATCTCCCTGTGTACATGCGATGTACAAGCACATCAATGCACCACGCAATCTACATATGTATGTACATGTACATATATTCATAAGTTTCAGCGTCTGCAGACATCTTGCGTGTTTTCATACCGAATCACATGTGTTTAGGATGCAAACCCGTGCACAACACAAGCTGTAAATGCATAAATCTGTAGCATCTTACATCATTTAAGGCACATTTATGTTGCAACCACGCACAGGTTTGTACATGCTTACTTGTAAACCAAATAAAACACTTAAATAAACTTGGAGCAAATACATGAATAAATAGCTGCATAAAACCACAAGGCTTGAGTAGGATGCCATGGAGAGGCTGCTACATTATTACTATTATTATACTTTTCTCCGTTCTCAGACAAAATGTCAGGTTTTGATTTATTGCTACACTTTCATGAACTAAATCTGACAGATTTAGTAAATGAAACATTGATACTATGCTCTTTAGTGACCAGCACCAGTCTAAATATGTGGACCTGATCCTGTGATATAACTGAAACGTTCCAGCTGCGAGACGTCAAATATTGAAAAAGTGAAAATGAGCAAAGAATTAAGATCATTTGCGAGGAAACTTGAGGGTCTGCTTTGCTTTTAGGCGACAGCCTTTCTACCGTAAAACCAAAAAGAGTGCCCAAATCGATGGTAATCTGAAATTTTCAATCAGCTGGATAAGAAACCAGCTCCGGCAAGCTAGCGTCCTCTGTGACTTTACAGAGACATGCTATTAAGCTGTCCACTGACGGAATACGAAACAGCAGCAAAGAGGGAAAAACAAAAACAAAAGCATTTCTGCCCGGTATTGTGATTTTGGTTATTTGACCACAGAGCCACGCCCGAGATGCTTTCACTGATCCAAGTCTCATCCGTAGACACGCAGAGCCAAAGGAGATTATTGATCCGGTGGGCTCATTTTCATGAAATACAAGACAGAGATTAATTATTAACGTACTGGGCTTTTGTTTGTCTGCTCTGTGCATCCAAGACTATTCATTACTATGTTAGAAACTGTGCTCAGAGACGCTGGGGAAATTATTCTAAATTCCGCATTAAAGCCTAAATAATAATGATATGGGGAGTATCCAACAGCATTGGCCTCTGGTTATGAAAATGTGAGAGCCAGTTGCTGCTCTCCTGTAGGCAAAACTCTGGGGATCTTAATGATTTCTCCTTGTTTACAGGAAGACACAGCTGTTTTTCTCTTCCCGCCATGAGATCGCTGCATTTCCACTCCAACAAACAATCGCTCTTTCTGAACAAACTCTCTGAAAGCATTACCTAAATCATATTTTTTCCTCTCGAGCGTCTCATTTACATTCAGCTGAAAGTTGGAGGCCCCTGCAACATCTTTTGGATCGTTCCATTTATTTCTTTGACAGATAAAAATTCTGAAGTCCCGCTGAGGTATTTCCATTTGCCACGCTAACCTGAGCTCAGCGCATCGACCACTCATCCATGATTCGGGAAAGCAATTGACTTTCAGCTGAAGCTGTTCAACCCTCTTAACCAGAATAGGCACACAGCTCATACACAATCTCTATTTTAATGTTATCGCCACCATTCTTCGCCTTTTTGCTTATAGTATTTAACTTGTGATTAACTCTCTGAACCCAGTAGCAGTTTCTAGATGTTTATTTTTTTTGCTCCTGTCACATTTTTCCTCACTATGGGCTCATTTTTCACTGCACTATGAAGTTCTGCATCTCTATGGAAACAGAAGCACCATGACTAGAAGTAGAGAGAACTCAGAAAGGTATTTTGTGCAGTATAACAAATACATCATGTAAAAAATCATTACCAAAGGAAAAAAGGGTGGATTTACATACCATAGATATGTTACTACTTACATTTTACTTGCCTCCTATCATCTTGTTGTAAACACAGCCTGCAGTTCAACTCAGTTTAGGTAAAAAGTCCCTGAATTTTTGTATTGGTCATTAATGGTCACACCTAGGTCATTAATGGGTTCACAATTTTGCCAATTAACTACTTTTTTTGTTTTCTTTTTTCCTTTTTGTGAAATGCTGTTAGTACAAGCTGTCTATTTTTGACAAATTTTTAATTAAGACCTGCAGATTAAAAATACTCATTGAAAAGTCTCGATTTTAAGCTTAGATTTGGTTTATTTTCACACTTGGACTCCAGACAATACATTTTTTGGCTCAAAAACCATCGGATTCCTTTTGTTTTTACACTCTCTGGCTTTGATGAATGGTATATTTGTTTATTTTGTTAATTTTTGAAAATTATAACATGCCTTTTCAAACCATTTAAAAGATGCAAACAAATTACAACACTCAAGTTCATCAGTGGGCTGCAAGGTGGCGCAGTTGGTAGCACTGTTGCCTCGCAGCAAGAAGGTTGCCGGTTCGCGTCCCGGTGGGGACACCGGAATCTTTCTGTGTGGAGTTTGCATGTTCTCCCCGTGCAGCGTGGGTTCTCTCCGGGTTCTCCGGCTTCCTCCCACACAGTCCAAAAACATGTTGAGGTTAATTGGTGATTCTAAATTGTCTGTAGGTGTGAATGTGAGTGTGCTTGGTTGTCTGTCTGTAAGTGTAGCCCTGCGATAGACTGGTGACCTGTCCAGGGTGTCCCCTGCCTTCACCCTAAGGCGGCTGGGATAGGCAGCCTATACTATCGCAAGTATTTGTTTTACTTCCCTCAATGCTGCCTGTAATGTAATTGCCTGTTTTTGTGGGACTTGTCCATGTTTTTCATTGGCTCACCTTCACAGTAACCGGGGTCGAGCCCGTCCAATCAGGGAGCAGCCTTAGAAGCAAAAGATCACAAAGCCTTCTCAGTGTTGTAGCATTTTTTACTTGACAGCCCCCTTTTCACTGTTTTCTCTTGTCGTGTGGATCGCCAATTTCAAAAATAATTGCACCTTCCCACCACACGGATGGCCTAGTTTTTATGACATAACTCGGCTTCCAGCGATGGAATTCGTCTTTAAGGTTAGAGGAAGATAGTGGTCCTAGTTGAAAGAAAGTTGACTGGCAGGCTGCAGGATGTGGGATGTGAAAAGCAGCTGTTTTGAGCATTTGAACAAATCCTCCAGAATGCAGTCAGACAGACCATTAATTCGGTATTACCTGGAGAAACGCTTACAGAGCTTGGGGAAGTGCATAACATGACATTTTCATATAAATAAAGTAAAGTGCTGCTTGGTTTGTAAGCAGGGCAGTAAGCATCGTATCATTATGGACACTCTGGTCATATCTACATTGGGAGTTTACATTTAGCTTTATATTTTAAATCCTATTTAATGTTTCTCCACAAGAATCATCTTCTTCCATTGCAAAGACTCTGAGACTCCTCATTCAGAATACTGTGTTGAGGTGCAAAAAGTACAGCCAATATTTTGAGCACGCAAACATCTTCTTAACCTCGGCATCGGTTTGTGTGTGATGAACACAGTTTAAGGTTCACTTACAAGCTTGTTGAGGGCTTTCAAATGCATTGGCATTCATCAGCCAGCGACACCGGCTCAGGTGTCATTGGTACGACACCTTGTGAGCACATGGCATTACACTCAGACAAAAGCTGAAGGTGACAGTTTTGAAACAGCTACAAAGTAGAGTCTAAAAGAGAATTCAGGTTTATTTCAATCAGTTTTTTTCTCCCCATTAATGTGATTATTGTTGCTCGCAGGTCATGCTAACTTTGCACTCTTCGGCTCCGTTGTAGAGATTTTGGGAAATGCACAAAACAGCTTGTGAACTTTGTTTAAAGGGGTAATTTAGCGTGAGCTCCCTGCAGCTTTCCAACTTTGGTCTTCAGTCTGACTGAAGTTAAACACAGAAATTAGTCGGGCATTTTTCTAACTGCATTAGCAAACATGCCATCTGGGGATGTTTATCTGCGCGTTTCGGTTTCTTTAGATGTGTGAGGCTGAAAGACGACCGGACCTCGTGACAGACGCAATATGTTGGGAAAGTGGTGGCGTTTCCTGACTGAGGAGGAAAACTGTTGCTGCAAAGAGTGGAACCTGTTGATGGCACACTTTAGTAAACCTCCAAGATGTGTGGAACTACACTTAATGAATCTGCAGCTTTGGTCAACTTTACTGTCCTAGAAATGATGTTTCACTACCCAAAATCAGCTCAGCTCTCCCGACGTGAAGTAA